ACATTAGTGCATAAACAGTTGCCTTCAATTGACACTTTGATGTCTAAAAAGGATAAAGAATTGTCAGAAATTTCCCAGGTATATTTCAGAGCCGGGTGAAAAGAATTGACTGCGGTTATGAATTGAGTGAGCTCCTCTCTGGTAGAGGAGGTGGCGCCGATACAGTCGACGATGTAGCGACCGTAGAGTTCAGGTTTGGAGCCGTTGTATTGGCTGAAAAATTGATGTTCGACAAAACCTACAAAAAGATTTTCATAGCTAGGTCCCATTTTGGTACCCATGGCTACACCATTGGTTTGTTTGAAAAAGTTGTCCCCGAATGAAAAACAATTGAGTGTCAGCACTAATTCGGCTAAGCGTTGTAGTGTTTCAGATTTAGGTTCCTTAACAGTACGTTGATCAAAAAATGTTTAAGGGCCATTAAGGAATTAATGGCCCTTAAACATTTTAAAGATCCATTAGGAATGACAGTGTAAAGAGACGTAATATCCAATGTGAAAAGAAGTTCAGGCCAAGGAAATTAAAGTCACGAAAAATTTGAAGAGCGTGTTGGCTGTCTTTAATATATGATGGTATTGTTTTGACAATGGGAGCCATAATTTTGTCTAGATAGCTGGAGATAAGCTCGGTAGGGCAACTGCAAGCCGAGACAATGGGCCGACCCGGGTTGTTGGGTTTGTGAATTTTAGGTAAGAAGTAAATACAAGAAGTTCTAGGAGTGGTTATGATGAGATTTTTTGATATGGCAAAAAAATTAAATTGTTTACTTTAAATTGTTTACTTTCATACTCAGAACACCTGCCGAAATGATGGCCTTCATCTAGCATCAGAGGTCAATTGCCCGTTTAATTTTGCGTTTTAAATCTTATAAAAATTAAATTGTTTACATTAAATTGTTTACTTTCATACTCAGAACACCTGCCGAAATGATGGCCTTCATCTAGCATCAGAGGTCAATTGCCCGTTTAATTTTGCGTTTTAAATCTTATAAATCGGGACCAAAAAGTTACAGAATCGATCCTTTGGACGGCCTACCTTTTATAGCCCGTCTTGAATGCTTGTGGATTTCACCTCCGCAGCTGTAATAACCTCTAAAGGGGTTGAAGTTTTGGGGAGGAATACAATCGAAAAGTGTACCACACAATGAAGACAAAAACTTTGCCTACTGCAATTTTACAAGTGAATAGCCAATCCTTGGTTTCGCTTTAATGTTGAATATCAGCGCAAATAGGTTCCCAACGAAGTTGTGCCGATCTTCTAACAACACTGCCTCCTTGTCTGATGTTCAATTCCGAAAGAACCGTGAATTCAATTAATGCACACAACAATATTTGGAAATGACCTTACCTTTTGAAATGTTGTTTGTAATTGTCCGATATCTTTTAAAAATCGCTTTTGAGCCACATGGATGTCCAAAATTCCTAACAATGGATGTTTGACGATGCAATGGGCTCAAGTAACGAGAACAATGCATTCCTCAGTTGCTAATGTGATGACAAGAAACGTAAATATTGAAAAGGTAATAAGTGAAAGAGTGGGGGAGGAGCGGTGGGGTAACTGCTTTGTACACAATAAGTTTTTCCATGGGCAACTGCCAATAATGTAAGAAGTTGCCTAATTGCAGGCGGTAGTTTATTTTTTCAAGCGTAAAGATTCAGCGCGGCGAATATTCGGTTGTCATATTGGACGTGTGGAAGATCTGGGATGAGTGACCAAGCGAGGGGAGGGAAGAGGAAGGCTGTGCAGGAAAAGGGGCCGAAAAACGCAACCCAAACACGAGAGCGTGCTCGCGGGCTCAACACACGGCGGTCAGAGGTCTTACAGGCGGCGGTAGATCACTACTGGTCACTGGCTTTTATTGAAATTTCCGGTTGACATTCCCCGCCGTTTGTTCCAGGGAGTAACCCGAGGAGTACTCTTGCAATTTGGTTAGCCTTTGAAAAATTTGGTCGTACTGAGTTATTCCAAACTGCAATCGAAATTATGTGATTGCCTACACTAATAATGCAGCCAAAGCTAAAAGTCGATTTGGTAAAACTCTAAGAAAGACAGCTTATACCAAAACTTCGCATCACACTCTGAGATTGATAAGCTGACAAAGATATATAAGATATATCTCAAAAAGCGGTGTCATGAGGGGTATCGTCTTCAAAGCTTTCACGGCTGTTTATGTTGTTGCCATAATTCTCTTTTTCTTTCCTTTTATCCTCACTATTTTCTTTTGCATTCTTCATTTTCTCTGGATCTTTCACTTCATTTTCATCTTTTAGCTCTATGTCGTCCATGCCCAGATTTCGAATTCCCAGTTCTATTCCCTCCTCAGAGTCCATCGTCTCAGGAGTGGGTGTTCCCTTTGTCTCTGGTAAAGTCATACACAACAGACTGGCCAGCAGTGCTTTAGTTCCCATGATGCCGTACGGGAGGAGAGGATGTACGCGCGTCTGTGGGAAAAGAAATGATACAGAAAAGTCTTTAGTCGTGAGAGTCAAAAGTAGGTAGAAAGTGCCCAAATATCAGTGCAGCCATTACGTTAAAAATCCCTTTGGTGGCTGAAAGGGTTCGGCGTTTGGCGCGAAGATGAGAGAGTAACTTAAACACTAGATGGCTATGCATGGCTTGCCTGATAATTCGATGGTTTATATTTGTTTTCTTCAGTTCTGCTTTACTTAAACATAAAACCACAAATAACTTCAATTCTTTCAGTGCTAAGGATTAGTTCTAACTACCAATAAAACAACCAGCTCTTGTTTGGATTTACGTGTTGTCGACAGCGTGGATAATAGGGACTTTAAGCAAACCACGACGGCTACGGCAACGAGAACGTGGAAAAACAATAGATCTAATTGGCAGAACAATAGCCCATCACGTGCGTTTTAAACCTTTGTACATTTCTTAGCCTTCCTTTGCAAAACAACAACGTGAAATCACCAAAATTTGCGTCGTCTGCGAAGCGAAACCGCGGCCGCAAATTAATTTAATTTACATTTGGAACTCAACGCTACCTTAATGCGTTATGTTGAGTTTGAGGTCTGGCGCCCTATGAGACTGTAAACACATGCAGCCATTTTCCAAATTCTAACTAAAAGTAGAAACTCATTTTTTAATCGACGTCTTCCGTGGCGTTGCCGTCCTGACTGCTTAAAGTCCCTAATACTTACTAGATGAACGATATATGGTGAACAGAATGAACCAATCCTGGCCGCAGATGTAGAGGAACCCATTCCAATATTCCTGAAAAAAAAAAACGTCAAGAAAAGAAATTTTTTTCCATACGTTACCCATCATTCATTAGTGGTGCACCCTCTCCAAGGAAAAGTCTTGGATCTTCCCTTGAGAACATTGCTTATAGAGCGACGCAAGGATCTCAACGACAAGGCCCTTGAGGTGGAATGCACAGATTCATGTTTCATAATGCTGGGGAACCAAAAGTTATTAACTTTGGAAAATTAATGAACTGGAAGGTAGAGGTAGAGAGAGAAAATCGGAAAAGGCTCTAACCTGATGGCCGTTGGAAACAGCTCAGCGGAATAAACATAGACTGCATCAAACGAAATGAACACAAAGAACTTAGCAGCAAGCGCCATGATGATCTTACCGGCAGCATAACCTGAAAACATAAAAGACCTTCAACTGATAATGGCAGGCCATTAGAAAAGTAAAGGAAGAGAGAAGGGCAAATGCAGCTCTAGCAATTCACTTGCAAAGGGTGCGAAAAAGTATTGCAGGCATTGAAAAACCAAGGGAGGAAAATGCATGGAAAACTTTAACAAGTATAAATTTACCCGGTTGGAGATTTTTTTCCCCAAGACTTCTCCAATTGTCATTTTCTTATTTTAATGGAACTTTCGGAAATCAAGAACACACATCCCGTTGGTAATTTTTCTGTTAGCGACAGAATTGTAGCTGTAAGAAATTTTCCCAGGATATTCTATTGCTTCCTTTTCCTCATTGGCTTAGGATTCTCTCGCGGAAAATAACATTGGTGAATTCACATGCAAAGTTAGAAGAACACCGCAATTTTGGCGGGTGTGGAATTGAAATGCGTCACTGATTTTGTCTCCCACTACTGAGTGGGATTCCAATTACTTTTACCACTCTGGGCGTCTTTTGATTTTGTTTCTCATCCAATCTCTACCTTCGAAACTTACATTTGTCATCTCCTGGATCGAACATAGTAAACAAAACTGCGCCGGTCGACGCAATGGCAGCAAGGATCAGAAAGTAAATCAGCGACTTTCTACGACCAATCCTGAAAAGAAAAAAAGCAGGCAAAAAAGGAAATTTCAAGTGAGGAAAGCACGAGATAATTTCTTCAAACAACAACGACCTGATTCTGACACTGTCAAACTAGAAATTGTTATTACTATGGTACATAAAACTGAAATTCATAGTCCGCTCCCCCCCCCCCCCACGCGAAAAAACGGTTAGCGATAAGAGCGAGTCTCTTTTAAACAGGATCCTTTTTTAAAAAGGCCCTCCACATGTTAACTCAGCAACTTCTTGTCCACAACTTCTTGTCCCGGCCGGACCAACACTCAAGGTCTTAAAATAATTGAGAAGAATATGCTACCTTTCAATAACATCAAGAAATGGTTAGATATTCTAGTTTTCTCGGATAGGGACGAATAAATGGAGGTCCCTTCTCCTGCGGGGTTAGGGGTAGGAGACGTTAATTTCCCACCCACGAGATTACTGTGTGATGGATGTTCTCCCCTGGGGTGGGATGGGTGGGTTAATAATATTCGAATGTATCTAGTACGAGTCGCTGGTTCATTGTACATCTCAAATTGAAATAAATGAACAGACAGACAGACAGACTGAACTTCCGACGCAAACGATGGAGGACGAGTCTTTCGCGCCAGGAGTCCAGTCCAGTGGATGGTGCAAGTCGGATCCATAGTTTCCAGTTTGACAAGTTTCACGAAATTAAGCTAAACCAAAGCGAGCATGCGTCATGGACTTACTTTCCCATGATCCAGATGGCGGCATAATTTGCAGGAATCTCGATGATGGATAGCAGGAAGAAATTCAGGTACATGTTGCCACCAAGAGTTGGAGTACTGAACGATACACCGTAATAAACCATGGCATTTACAAACCTGTAAGCAAATTCAGTGAACGTTTGTGGCTAACAAGGCAATATTTATGAATTTACAGTATCAGACGGTAACAGGCGGAATACTGTACTCTTAGGGGTGCATTTGGTAAAATTGATATCGGAAATTATATGATAATTAACAATTATTCCACGAGCGGGCGTTGGATATGAGATGATAAATAGCCAACGCGGCGCGTAGCGCCGAGTTGGCTATAGTCATCTCATATCCAACAAGCACGAGTGGAATAATTGCTTTATTAAAAAAACGCCCCCAAGATATTAGACAAATCTTCTCGACTTTATTTTGTAAGAAGAAACCGGATGTTACAATGAACAGATATTAGATTATGGTATATTGGCTCATATACCATAATGGCTTAGCCAATAAAAATTGTGAATTGCATTATCCAATGATCTAGTTTTTAATAAACAGAATTACACAAGCATATTGATAGGTTCTTACCTTTGGCGGACAGACGCAGAGATGACGTCACTATTAATAATTTTTTTGCTTTTTCATTATGAAAAACAAATAGATTCCATGTTACCGTGGGTCTGTACAATCATAGATCACGGAAGACGTCAAAATGTGGGACCAAAATTTGTTGCCAAAATGTGCCACTTTTTTTGTTTATACCCCATTTTGACTTCATTTGTGATCTTTAATTGAACAGACACACGGCAGCATGGAATCTTTGTTAAAAAGAATAAAAAGACAACAATAGAAGTAAGAAAGGAATTTTGGTGAAAAAGTTTCCTCCAAATGTCTTGTTCACAAAATTAAATGTCTTTCACTGGTTGAAAACTGTATATTATCTTCTTAATCTTCGTTTAGGTACAAAATTCCGTCTGAATCAAAAATACTTCCTAATCCTAACCCAGGCAAAAGGGAGCTCAAAACCCTTTCAAAAATGATTTAACTTGTTAAAAATTAGGTGAAGACAGACAAAACCTATACGTGATACTCAGAAACTTTGAATGAAGTTGTAGAAGGTTATTCAACACATATCTTAGCACCTGTCTTCAAGGAGGAAGTAAACTTTACACGTCCGCTGACACTCACCAGGCATACCAACAAACAAGGGTCCTGTGCAACATCTTTTTTGTTCGAAATAAATCTCTGAAGTCACCCAGATCCTGTACCTTTCCTTCAGCATTCGGATTCACTAAAGGCTCGTCTGGATACGTTTTCTTGTTTGTGGTAGCGATGCGTCGCAATATTTGCTCAGTTTCCGTAACTTTCCCCTTGAGTAGCAAATACCTTGATGATTCGGGGGTGAACCTTAAAGAGATAATTATACATGAAAACTTTCACAAGAAACTCTGTCAGAGAGGCTAAGCAGTAAATATGAATCAAGAAAACCAAGCATTAAAAAAAGGCAAAGTTTTAACCCCTAATCTCTACCCCCTCCCTCACCTGGAAGGGAATACTTGAGGTTAGTTTGGATGAGGGTGTAGGAAAAAATTGTTTTTCTTGGCTTTCCCGTTCCAGACGAAGGGCTTTAAGGAGTGTGGCATACTGAATGCCCGAAACGACGTCTGGTAAGTTATTGCATAATATTTGATATTGGGATAGTTTTTCCACCCCTTCTGAATAATTCAGGCCTGCAAAGATAGCAGACCTGTTTACAATTCAAGATCCTGCAAACCATACTCTGTTTGGCAGCACGCACCAGTTTAGAGGGTGTGTCCTCAGGAGATTACCCAGGTCTCTCCCTAACAGGGGAAACCCCTAAACTTTTTGAACTTAATGGAGATTTTTATCTTTAAACGCTTACCACCAGCCTATAAAGGAAATAAGTCCAGGTACTGCACAGGTAATTGAAAGGAATCTCCAGTCACGTATGCCATAAGCAAGCCCTGCTAGCATGACTAGTGACAAGGTCCATGAATACCAAAGTGACGTACCAGCCACGTGACGATGTCTGACGCCTGCGAACTCAGTGGCCAGCACGTAGATTCCCATGGCTCCACCACCTGATGGGATAGAGAGTGAGTCAGATCAGCTAGGCTTACGTGAGGAACTTTTTCAGCTTCTGTTTAATTATTTCCATCAATGCAGTGAGCTTCGACACAGAGTTTTCATTCTTCAAGTCTATGTTATCAATCATAATGATCCATGGAATATTTTATCTCGCGCGCGATTGGCTTTCACGCATCACGTGACCGATCATACCCACCTAAAACAGGAAGATATTCAAGGATATCATCCAAGTGATAGTCCCAATTTTCAAACCTGACGTCCACCACAAAAAGTCTTCGTTTAAAATTTATTTCAATTCAAGATGAGAGAGCGTTTAATAGGTGATTACAGAAGAAGGAAATATTTGTTTGTTCATAGAATCGTACCAGAGAACACTCAAAAGAAAATATCCCATGCAGCAAAAATTAAGCTGTTCGTAAATTTTTTTCACGCGCGTCGCAGAATGTTTGAAGGATATCAAATTGAACCTTTTTTTAAACCTCTGTTACCTTCTCACTTTTTCTGAGTTAAAATAAATCTATATGGCCTCTAATTCAGTGACGTCATCTGTCATCGAACACGCACGCAGCCGGTTCTGTGGAGTCGAGTGGGGTGAGGTAGAGGGAGGGTGGGATATCAGAAACAACTCCATCAAAATACAGTTCGGTTATTCAAGAGAGTACACCAACAACGGAGTTCACAAGTACAGAATCGAAGCAATCGTGAATCATCATCATCTTTACTTGCCTTATCTTAACAATTAAAAAATAGTTAATTACAGCGATAACAGTTAGAAGGCGAGGAGACCCAAGAAGCCACCAGGCTTATGGGAGAGCCACCTCACTTACAATAATAAATTAAGTAAAGAAAAAAAATGGTAAAAGTTTGGGAAACGCTCCGGCCAAGAATGCAAGACAAACAGGATTATTTTAACAAGCTTAAAGAAAAGATAAAAGAAAAGTTTGACTTACCGAGACAGATGCCAACAAGAAGCCTAAACAGGATGAAAAGCCAGAAGACATTTGGGAAAGCAGCCAACCAAGCGAAGATACTACAGGTCACTGATCCTATATACAGCACTGGTTTTCTGCCAATCTTGTCCGATAAAACTCCGCCGATTAACGCACCCACAAGCCAGCCGGCAAACAGGAGTGAAGTTGAAATGGTTCCAAGAAGAGCTTTATCGCAAACCAAGTCGAACTACAAGAAATTGTTCCAAACATTTTTTTATGTTTTTGGACATAGTCGTGATGTAATAAAGTCCTCTAAACCGGCAATTACGTAACATGATAGTACGAGGCTAAAATATGTTGGGCACGACCAAGCAAAAAAAAAAATAACGGTAACTGGAATGCAACAACAAAAACAAACAAAACGAAGCAAAAACACAAAAAAAAAAATCCCCAGTTAGGCTTCAATAATTGTCTAACCTGAATTCCGGTAGCATGAAAAAGTGGGTAGCAGGGTAAATTTTAATTTTGAGAAGTAGTTTTTTTCATCCTACTTGTAACTACAGTTGAATCAAGGTAATTCGAATCGTCCGTAAAATGGCTTCCCTCGCCCGCATATTCATTCATGCCGTTATCTGGGTACCTGCTATTCCTGCAAACAACCCCACCATTTCCCCTTCCCGGTTGTTCGTTCGCCCTCGGTGATTGGAGTCCTTTAACAGACTATTTCAGTTACAATGCATCTTGTCTATCATTAATTCTGACCTCAGTAACCACTGAAGTGTAATCATCAGCGAATTTCCAGGCCTCCCTCGGCATATCGCATCGTTTCTTGTACAGTTCATCCCCGGGTTTGAACTCTCCGGTCAGGTTACACGAGCGGTGATTGGCTACACACATCCATTTGGGTTCAGCGGCGATGAACGTTGGTACCATGACTTGAAATGTTATGTTAAACCATTCAATATAGCTAAGAATAGCAATCAGGCGGATTTGATAAAATCCGAGGCTACCAATTTGCTCCAGTATCTGATCTACGGTCAAAGCCATTCTGTGGATATGATTTCAAAAGATTTTATTTATTCATTACTATTAAATGGATACTATAAAAAAGTAAAAAAGTAAAATAATAAAAATAAAAATGAATGATGAAAATAACAGGCCACATGGAAGATCTGTAAAGGAGTCCTTGACCCCATGTAAAAACAGATCACCAAAGAGGAAATCACGTGAAAAATAACACCCCGTCATTCCACCCTTAATTATAAATCCGAATAAAAAATTCAAGCTTTGATCTGCTGACTGAGTTATATTTATGGGCAAGATACCTTATTCCTAATTTGTCTCTCTCCTCCAAGGAGGGTATTTGGGTACCGGCTAGATTGCTAGGGGAGCCTGAAGAAATACCGCAGTATCAAAACATCGCATCCATGTGGTGTAGCAAAACCTCTTCTAGGTCATTCCAGTCGAGCCGGCTGAACTCTAAGAGAGGTTCTATAAGAGAGCTGGCGTGCAGAATGTTTATTGCCATGTTCCCACCAATCACGTAGCTCCATTTTCTGCCTTTAAAAGCACACACAACCCACAATTCCTGTATTCGCTCCGACGAAGGGCTAACGCTCGAAACGTCAGCTTTTATAACCGTAACGGTGGCCAATTTACCATTTCAACTTTGTTGATATATTCAAATTATTTCTTTGGATAATGGACAGATGGTGAAAGCTATGTGCTCCAAAAATATCAAGTCTTCGTTATTTGAGACTGTAGATAAAAACTTCCGTCAACAAATTTCTTATAATGATAACACATTCCCTGATAAGTTTGTGACGATTAAGAAGAAAAGAGACCGGTAAAATTTGTTAATTTTGCCCCCGAATATACAGCCTGGTTTTTTTCCTTTTTTCTTTTTCCTTGTCTGCAACACCTCCGTTTGTTTCTAAGACTTGGTCTCTTAAGCCTCTTAGACCATTTTGCCCAAATTGTCCAAGAGTAAGTGTTGAAAACCATTTAATGGGATACTAACAGGGTTAAATACAACTATGTCGAGGCTTATTACTCACAATAGGGAGGTTTTGAATGTTTAGATTCATCTCTGGTTTCACGTATGTTCAACGTACCCTTATTGAATCAAATCATTAGGTGTAACCGCCACCCGGTTAGCTCAATGGATAGAGCGCTGGACTGTAGTGCGGGAGGTCGAGGGTTCGAGCCCCGGCCGGACCAACACTCAAGGTCTTAAAATAATTGAGAAGAATTTGCTACCTTTCTATAACATCTTATTTTTCCCAGGAGAGCGCCTCGCTGGCAGCACACGACCTTTCACGCTCCATGTTTTCCCTCTATTTTTTAGAGAGATTTATTAATATTTTAAGTTTTAAATCTAGTCTAAACCCAAAAACATGGCTTTGACGTATTAAAGATCAGTACTTCAACAGTTATCGTCGTTTTCCCCGGCTTTATTGAGTCCACACCTGTGACGTCGCTTCACTGAGCACGGTATCACTCGCATAAAATCCACACGTCGGGGCTGCCGTGGCG